GGCAAGAATGTGCCGGAGTGCGCCGGCTCTTTTACCGGCCACTGCCGGTAAGCATTGAGGAGGTCGTGGCCGAAAATGCGTAGGGCCTCCGCCTGCTCCGGGCCGACCAGCTCGACGACCCGGCGGATAATGTCGACGTAGTCGTCGACAAAGTGATGTGTTGGCACATCATGCGCCCTCACTGTGGCATTGTGGCCGGCTCGACGCCAATCTTCGCCTCTTCGTACCTTGGTGGCGCCGTTCTCGTCCTCCTGGATGATGGGGAACGACGCCGCCGCGAAGTGACGGCGGGGTGGCGGTGGTACCAGTCTGTCGGCGCCAGCCACGTCAACCAAAGGTACAGTGGTGATGTTCCACCCAGCCGGGGGCCGGGTGGGGCCGACGACGCGACCAAGTCGGGTCTCGTCCACCAGCTCCGCCAGGAGTTTATCAGTGTACTCGCCAGTCTTGGGTCTCGACGTGCGATCCCTGACGTAGTTCCAGTTCACCGACGCCAATGTATCAAGCGACGCCGGGTTGGAGTATCGGCCGTCTGTCCGCGGCTTCCAGCCCGGTCCGCGCCGGAGCTCGCCCAGCATATCAAAGCCGTCTGTGAGGTCCGCCGTCATGCCTGCCACGTCCGGGTAGCCGACCATCTGCAGGAGGTGCAGCACGACGGGGATCTGTGTGTGCCGGGTCTTGCCGGGCACCGTGTAGGTAGACCGGATCGGCGCCGACCGCGCCGCCAACCATTCGTCCGTGGTCTCCTGCATGTCCTGGACCAGCTGCGTTCGAACAGCACCTCCCGTCGCGCAACCGGGGCGCCAGTGCGTCCACAGCTCCAGCACCCGTTCAAGCGCCGGTTCCAGGCTCGGCCGGCGTGCCACCGTGCAGTGGACCAGTTGGCCCGCCAGGTGCCAGTGCATGTCCGGGTCGTCGTCGGGCAGTTCCAGGTCGGTCGCAGGCGCGGCGGTGGTTCCATGGGTACCGGGCCGCCGCCGAACTGTTCGACCATCCACTGCATCGTGGACCGCCTGGGTTCCGGGGCCGGTGCCGCCTGCACCGGGCCCGCCGCCGTCAGCACCACCAACATAGCCAGCAGCCGGCGCGCCACTCCCCAACGCCAACCGTTGGCCAGCATCTTGTGCCGGGCCCGGTCGTCGAGGAAACTGGCCGCCGTGTATGGGGGGGGCAGCATGTGCAGCTTCTCCTTGGCCGCCGGCGGGACTGCCTGCCGCCCATCTCGCCTTGGCCGGTTCGGGCAGCTTCTGCCGGACCCGTTTGGGCGCCGGTCGTCCCTGGTCATCCTCAGCCGGCGTGGTGGCGCAGCAACCGTAGCCGGCCGGACGTCACCGCCTCGTGGAAGGACAGGCCATCTGCTTCCATCTCCTCTGCCGGTGCCCGTGGTGACTCCAACCGAAGTCGCCGGAACGACCCCTGCTTGCTCCACTGGAGCTGCCGCCCCTCGGCCGGGTCGATCGACATGGTCGTCACCGCCGGCGACATCCACCACAGTCTCGGGCGCGATATCCAGCCGAAGTCCGACACATGCGACGAACGGCTCTACCCCCAGGGCCTCGGATACCACCGCCGCGTCCTTGGGCTCCATCACGACGTTCTCAAAGAGGAAGCCCAGGCGGCGATCGCCGATGAGCCCCGCCAGGTCGTGCACAAAGTCGACGGATTTGAGGAAGAGGCTGCCTTTGTCGCCAGTGTGGCCGGCGGCCGACCCAATGCGAGAGAAGTCTTGGCACGGTGGCGCCGCAGCGACGATGACGATCGCCCGTGCACGGGGGTCGGCCTTCTCGATGGCAGCCGCCACCGCCTGAGCCGAGTCGGCTGTGAAGTCGCCCCGGTGCGTCATCCACGGCAGCCTCGCCGACGCCAGCTTGACGCACAGTCGGTCGACCTCCCAAGAGAACGCCGCCACCGGCTCGCCATACAGGTCTTCAAGAATGGCGGGCGCGGCGCCGATGCCGTCGAACAAGGAGAGCACAATGTAGTCGATCCGCCTTCTGCGCCGGCGAAGTGCCGGTCGGACAGCCAAGGTGGCGCCTGGCGCCGCGGGTCCCCCGTCCCCGTCCACGGCTGTGGACGGGGGCCCGTGCTGTCCCTAGCGCCTCTTCCTGTCATCGCCGCGACGGCTGTCCTCGCCGCGGTCGTTCCCCTGGCCGCGCCACTGCTGCTGGCCGCGCCACTGGCGTTGTCCACGCCTGTCCTCGTCGTTGCGGCCGGTCTGCTGGTAGCGGCCGCCGCGACGGTTATCATCGTCCCGGTCGTCTCTGGTCCACCGCCGCGTGGGCCAGTCCGCCTCCCAATCCTGGTCTCGGCCGTCCCGGCCTGTGGTGGTTCGCTGGCGCTTGCCGGGACGCCAGCGGGTGCCTTTCCCCTTGGCCTTTCCCTTTGGCTGGTCGTCGGGCTCGCCGGTGTTGTCCTCGGTGGCCTGGGTGGTGTGGTTCTTCTTGGCCGGCTGCCTGGACGCCAGCATCGCCTCGCTGAAGGCCAGGTTGTCGCCGGTGATGTCGCGCGACACCTCGTCGAAGGTCCTGCCGAGGCGCATCTCCGACGCAAGCCGGTGCGACGCGGCGTCCCAGTAATCGACGACCGCGTCGAGTTGGTGTGACCGCAGCCTGGCCTTGCCGACCCACCAATCGACGTACGCGACGATGGCCTTTTTTTTCCGTGCCGAGCTGGATGAGGATCCACGCCCATTTGATCGCCGTGAGGCCGTCCACGACGGACCAGATGCCCTTGGGCACCATCGGGCGATCCTCCTCGACGGCCAGGGCGCCGTCGACGAGCTTGAGCTGGTGCGGGGCCGAGCCGGCACTACGCCTGGCCGACAAGGGGTTCACGACCTTGAGCGCCGAGAACGTGCGTTTGGAGAGGATCTCGCCGACGGCGACGGGAGTGTAGAGTTTGTCCCTCGTGTGCTCCCAGTGCATCCTCGCCAGCACGTCTTCGGCGCCGAGAAGCTCGTCAGCCGGGAAGGTCCTGGGTTCGCTGTGCGACCGGGGCCTCCTCGTCGTCCACCTTGTGCATGGTGCCGGCGACGATGCCGTCGCGAAAGGGCCGGAACACCTTAGTGTCCACGCTCTCCCAGGTGTCCGCCACCAGCGCCAGCGTGGCTGTGCGGTTGAGGGAGCGCGCCTCGAGGTACGCCAGCATGTCAGGGCCGGCCCCAGCCGACGCCGCCAGCGTAGGGAACTCCACCATGGCCGAGGAGACCAAAGCCGCCGAAGCCATGGCACCGGCGACGAGGGGGGGAGGCGAGGCGATCGGAGCAGAGACGCAGCACTGGTCGACGAGCCGGGTGTCAACTCAGACGTGCGGCCGGTGGCAACCTGGCGGGCCTTATATCCCCGGGCGTGGGTTCCGGACAAAGTCAACCGTGGAAGAAAATTCCGCCGGTAACGGGTCCTGCCGGGGGGCCTCCGCCACCTCGGCCCGATCGATGTCCATGAGGGCCTGCGCCTGGTCGGTCGTGGTCGCCCGGGCTTGCGCCACTGCCGTGCCGATCTCCAGCGTCGGTGGCGGCAGCGCCGCCGGAAGATACCGCTCAACAACTGCGGCCGACGACCACTGGCCCAGAAGCTGGATGACCGGGGTGGGCACGCCCTTGGACGCCATCCGCCGAAGAGCTGGACTCGACGAAATAGGAGGACGGCCGACGATTTCTCCCAGGTCGCGCCGGTGCTGTCGGGAAAGAGCGGCCGATCTCGGAACCAAAGCCCCGCCACCTTCAGGCGGTCGATGTGTCGAACCGCCGCGTGGTAGGGGCACAACGGCGCCACCGCCGCACGGCATGCGCACCTAAGCTGGCGCATGGTCAGCTCGGTCTGGCCGCCGGTGGCCGCCTTGTGCAGGGGGACCCTGAGGCAGCTTCGAGGTCGCCGCCGCGAACTCAATTTCGCGAAGCATGAACCAGGCCGCCAGTAGGAGGGCGTCTGCGGCGTGTGCCGACGTCCACCGGGAATACCGCCTTAAGCCGGCTGCCGGGCAAGCCCCGTAGGACCGCCCTGGTGTACCGCCGCATCGCCTTCTTCTGCCGCTCCTGATAGGTCACCGCCGCATAAAGTAGTTCTAGGCCGAACAGTAGCCGCCTCGACGCAGCGACGCGGCGACGCTGCGGACCGCCTCCAGTGAGATGGGCCAGGGGTCGACGGCCCACGCCTGGCACAGGTCGACCCAGGTGCGGACCCTCGACTGGAAGGGGCCCTGCGACGAACGTGCCAGGACGTTCTCGTCGAGGTCGGTCAGGGCGTCCTGCCGGTGTTCCGCCAGCGCCGCCTCTAGGAACGTTTGCAGGCCCGGCGGACTTCCCGCCGCACGGGCAGATCACCCCGTCGGCCGGGAGGCACCGGCGCCGGATCGGGTGGCGGGCCGCCGCCCCCGTGTACCGTTGCGACGGTCAAAGGCAGAACCTCCGCCGGAACCCCCGCCTGGACCAAGGCGGAGGCCGACGCCAGGGCCCAGGCCACGTCGCGGGCCCCGGCCGCCGGCAGTGCCGGGAGGTGTTCCTTAGCGCCGAGCTCGACGAACGCTCGAGCCAAGAGGGCGAAACCGTCGCGGCCGTGGAGGTCGACCGCCGGCATGGTAGGGCGTGTGCCGGGAAACCGGTCTCCTCGAGCCACCTCGCCTGCCTAAAGAAAAAGAAAAATAGGCAACGACGACGACGCAGGCACAGGACATGACAATGCTCACTCTGGCAGGGTCGCCGGTTTTTCCTTCCAGTGCACAGGTGCAAACTGCGTGGTGAAACACGCCGGTGCTTACAGCCGACGTGTTCCGCCAAAACTGATCACGCGGAGAGGCTCGCGAGAGCATCCGCCGGGAAATAAACAAAACTAAGGCACACGACGAGGAGGATGGCGACAACTCGCCGAGCCAGCGAAGTTGTAGAAGAGCTCCTCGACGAAGTGCGCCGGCACGGCCGAGGCCTAGTAGTCGCGACCACGCCGGCTG